TATATATATATATATATATATATATATATATATATATATATATCTTTATAGTAGAAAAAAAAAACTGTGAGAGTAAATGCACTGTTTAAGCAAAGTTAGCTTTAGCGGGGTGAGTGCTTTATGCAAGACACTGTTCAATATTTTTATTTTAAAGAAAAAAAGGAAGATGTTTATCTGTTTTTCTCATTACAAAATAAACAGAAATGATGTATAATGAATAAAAACAGGAACTGAGAGTAAAAGTATGGTTCCCACCGAACAAAAATTGGTTGAAAAGACATTGTGTCACAAAGTGACGCGTGAAAAGTTGTGTTTTTCGGATCGTTGAAAATACGTTGACAAACTGGGTTCCCAATGTCTTTTCAACGTCTATTATTGGACTAAAATGGGACAAAATAAGACTGACCACATACATTCCAATTTTCGACAATGATTTATGGGCTAATTGAAGACTATGACAGACTGACCAGATTTAGCCTAAAATCCAACGTCTAAATGATGCCTGCTGTTTGAGGATCTAGCGATTCCATTGTTGATATAGGGCTAAATTAACTTTAAAATATCATTAAATCAGTCTGAGTTAATTAATACTTATGAATGTAATTGTCTATAATATAAATATAAATAGACCCTGTGCAACAACATTGATAGATAGCTTTGATGGATCAGGAAGAAATGTCAATATTAGCACCTTTAATCCCCAATTGGAACAAAATTAAAACAGCCTTTAGCTTTAAATTAGTTTGGACTAAAATTTCCCATTGGTAATTAAAAACATAATCATAAATGAACTAGATAGTTCAACACAGAACAGAGATATCTCCTAAAAGACAGTTAGAGATAAACAGATCATTTATATCCAATTGGTAAAAACAAATAAAATTAGTATTTATAAATTCCAGGGCATTACTTGTGATATTTGAACTATATTATTAATTAGCACATTTTCTAGTTTGTTTGACTTTTACTCTATAGGTAATACATACAAAAAAATGTGAAATTCCTTATTTTCCCCAAGATATTGCAACAACCTTGTCTATTTCCTACGATTGATTATCTTTTTTTGTCTCATTCCCCGTATAATCACCAGTATGGCATTTTATTGCTTTTTTATTTGAAAGTATATTAGATTTCGTTACACAATTGTGTTTAAAATATATGTTATTGTGAAACCTGTACTTATACTACCAGAATAATATCATTAAGGATAATTATTTCTGTTTCATCTGCTTTGCAAAGTTTACAGTGAACTGTTAGTGCTTAAAAAATCTAAATACATTTTCACCAGGAATTAAAACATTTCCTCACCACTGTTAGTCTGGGTGCCCCCCAGCACAAAAGCAGGTATCCCGGCTGCTGAGGACAGGATCCAGATGCAGACATTTATCATCTTGGCTTTGATGGGTGTGCGGAAGTCCAGGGCTTTCACTGGGTGGCACACTGCCACGTACCGGTCCACGCTCATCATTGTGAGAGTGAAGATGCTGGTGAACATGTTATAGTAGTCAATGGAGATGAAGACCTTACACACCACCTCCCCAAAGGGCCAGGTGTTCAGAAGGTAGTCAGTGCTCTGGAAGGGCATGGTGGTGGTGACGAGCGCATCTGCTAGAGCCAGGTTGAAGATGTAGATGTTAGTGGCTGTCTTCATCTTTGTGTATCTGTTGAATATGCAGAGCACAGACAGAGCTGCCCAGTTTAGATTTATGACTCAAGCCAACCATACAGTCAGACAGCATCAACAGCAGCGTATTACTTCTGTTCTCTGTGGAGGACCTTTCCTCTTGGCACGTTAAATATTAAGCTGTGCGCATTAACCCCGAAATCCTTCCTGAATTTGTAATGTAATTTGCCTGACTCACACTTCATTGTCATGTATGCTGTGCAGCTCACTGCAGAACTCATATAATCGGTTTGTTTAAGCTTCATTAAAATATGAAGGCATATTCAGTAGAGTGACTTCAGCAAAGTTTACTCATTCATTTCCATTTGGAGTATTAAAACAAAAATAGAAAGCAAAGCTATAGGTTGGTGAAGTTCATGAAGACTGGAGAGGCTCAGTTACGCTGCAAGTTAGAAATAAGCAAACTTTGGTGGGGATCACTTTACAGTATTTAAAGCAGTGGTGTCAAAACGTTTGGCCAAAAATGTTTACTTTAGAAAACCCCGGGGTCATGCAATTTAGTTTAAAAAAAAAAAAATCAAAATTTTAAAGAATATCTTATTTTATTTATATTTTTTAACTGCTCTACTTTAAACAAAGATTGCAGATGTTGAATAAAACAAGAAAGCAGTCCAATGAATGTATCGACAATGGAAAAAAAGAAATAGTCTTGCAGGTTTGCAAAATAACATACTACAATAAAATGTTCAGGTTTATCATCTTTATCTAAATTATGTTGCATTTGTATTTGAAGCAACAAAAACAGGATATGAATATGACTCACTTGTTATATTTAGCCAGGTTTCATATATATGCACTCCCAAGTCCTTCATTGAAAGTCACTAAATGTTTACGGGCCTTTTTACTGTTAAATTATACTAAAGTAATAGTAAAATAGACACGTTAATTGTGTTGAACCACATATTGTCAATCTTTTTGTCAATCATGTTAATGAAAATTGCGACCTAAGATTTGATAGATATATGCTTTTCCATCGATTGCCAGGGTTTTCTTACTCCATCAAAAAAATCCCTCTGAGGGAAGCAAATGGCCCCTGGGCGACACTTTAGACATCTAATTTAAAGGGACAGCTCAAAATTCAGGACAGACCAAAACTGTTTTCATTCTAATTAGTCTCAGACCTCAATATGTATTTCAAGGCCTTTGCTTAAATCGGAAATCTGGTAGCTCCACTAAAGGAAGGTTGTCATGAATAACAGTTTTACAGTATAACCCATGTCACTGGTTTAATAAGGTAGAAATGATCAGAGGTGCTTAAAAAAGGATTTGGGTCAATTATCACAAAAAATTATCCAACAATTATCACAAAAAAACAAGGAAATTAATTTGAACTAATCTTGGTTTTGATCCCAGTCTGGGTCTGTTTACTACTACATAATACTGGAGAAGAACGTGACAACTTAAATAAAAAAACAACTCTAAGTGACTTCTGGCTGCTTAATAATATATCAAAAAAGGAGTGTGAAAGAAGAAGATTGTAGAAAATTGTTCAGATAAGTTGTCGTCAAAGCATATACAAAACGCCAGTTTGAAGTAACTATTAAACATTCGAACCTAACCCCAAACATGACAGATGTTTAAAAGTTTAAAAAGTTATTTCTGCATGAACTGCATGGAAATCCTTATATATTTAAGTGTGGAGTTGCTTTAAGCTATCTTAAAAGATTTAGCACAAAGGTACATTAGGACAGACTAAAAAAGAATGTTTCATCAAGGTGAAACCGCTGAGAGTTAATTGCTAATAATTAGACATTAGCTGTTCATACCATACCTACCCCCTTTAAATCATAAGTATTGTTTGCCAAGCATATGCTAAATTAGAGTTTGCTTGTTTTTACACCCAGTGACAACCTTTTGTGTTTTCAAATATGTTCGAAATGTAGAATGGCTTTTAATACACCATGATACCTGACTGTTTTGTTTTTTTTGCCTTGTCATGTTTTAACTATATTAGTCATTTGTTGTTTTGTGTTTGACCAACCACATTTTTTCCCCCTTTTTTCTATATGCTTTACAAATTCATTTGTTTTTATTCTACCAAGTACATTTATAAGACTTATATGAGGTAATTGTGGGGGTTTTGTGAAGGGAGGTGACAAAACCAAATATTTGAGGCAGCTATTGGTGTAATTTCTCATTTAGATGAACTAACATGAATGAAGCACAATTCTTGACATCAGTTAAAATATAAAGTTGACTGAATCATTTATTAATTTTTCCAAAAGTTAAGCCCATCTTAAGGTTTTATTTTAAGCACTTTTTCAGAAAAGATTATTTAAAATCACTCAAATGGTATTCCATTTGTAATATGAAAGTTATCAGACTCTCAAAGGGAAAGATCTTAAGTTATTCTTGTTCTAACTTTATGGAAGATGATCAGAAGAGAATCAGTTAAGCCTCTTTAACACCTGATATCATCCGCTCTTGGCAGAAAAAAACATAATTAAAACACAGACAGAGTCCTGAAGCTGACTCCTCTCTGTCTAGTGAAGAAGACTTGTCAGTCCACATTACTTTGACCTTCCCTTTGGTTTGCTTTATGGGTGGAGAGATGCTGTCACTCTGCACAGGTGTCAGGCAGCTTGTGTTTTCTAGAAAAAACTAAGGCAGATGCTAATGTGACCCATCAAAAGGTGTCTGTAAGATAGCAGAGTAGAACAAGTAAGCAAGAAAAAAAAAAGAATAGGCAGGAATAAAAAGAAACACAGATTAACCTTGTTCTGTCTCTTAAAATTAGTTTTCAAAGTCCATTCTTTCCTTACTGGAGGGTTTAAACTAACACTGGAGAGACGACACCAAGTATCTTCCAAACTGGACCACTCAGCTGTAGCTACTGCTAAGGGGTATTTCTCTTAGATTGTCCAAAAATCCTCAAATTTCTTCCATTTTTCACCAGTCACATAAAAAAATGAAGATAATCAGGTTGACACGTATACTGATTCTTAACTGTTTTAAGCACAAAGCTTACACCTACTTCACACAAACTCCATCACCTGTGTGTTTTATACTATGTCTCCAATAGAGGCAATTCTGGTCAATGGGCTATCTGCCATTGACTCTGTGGAGCTGAAGTACAAAAGTCTATTCTTCACAGACAACAATACCTTCATTTATAAAAACCAGATCGATTAAGTTAGAAAGTCAGACATAGGAAACTAAGTGGATCTGGTCAGGTAAGATAATCAATCTCATTGCACTGTAAACATACTACAACATGTGTGAACCAGAGACACTGTCACAAGCAATTCAGTTAGAGAACCTGTAAGGATCTCTTTGAAACAGTGGATGTCAAGAAGCTAGTTCTGAAAGAACAATATCACAAGATCTTATAGGACACCACACATTAATGGAAATAAATAGCTGGAGTCATCTACCAGAGGCCTGGGAGTTTGAGGGTTCTGCACAGCATCTTAGCTCTTCCTAGGAGTACACTCTTCTGGACAGACACCTCTGATGTTTTACCTGGAATCTGCTGTAGCCACTCTCACAGTTTGGGGGTCACAGCCCCCAGTGCTCCAATTACTACTGGAACCACTGCTGCTCTTACCTTTCACATCTTTTCTAGATCCTCTTTCAGCCCTTGGTATTTCTCAAGCTTCTCAAGTTCCTTCTTCTTGATGTTGCTGTCCCTTGGGATTGCCACATCTATCACTACTGCCTTCTTCTGCTGTTTGTCAATCAACACGATTTCTGGTTGGTTAGTCATCACCTGTTTGTCAGTCTGGATCTTGAAGTCCCATAGGATCTTAGCTCGGTCATTCTCAACTACCTTAGGAGGTGTCTTCCATTTTGACAGTGGGACTTCCAGCCCATACTCATGGCAGATGTTCCTGTACATTATGACAGCTACCTGGTTATGGCGTCCCATGTATGCACTTCCTGCCTGCATTTTACACCCTGCTGTTGTGCTGTATTGTTTCAGAGTAAGGGTGTGCAAAATAATCGTCATATCGATGCATCACGATTCTAATTTTTGTGATCTACTGCATCGATTCTTGCCTTCAAGAATCGATAAAAAAATAAAAAAAAATAAAAATGAACAAATAAAATACATG